CGGCTTGTGTACTGCATCATTACTGTGTCTGTTCCCCTTTCGGGCTTGAACTGATGGTAAAACTAATGACATTATTTACTGTCTTTACATTTATTTTGAAAGATGAAGCTCGCGATTATGGTAAGGGGCGTTATGTTTCCGACGAGTGCTTGCGGTGTTCGGCCAATCACAATGCACTGGGTCAGCTGGCCAATCAGAGCAGACTGCGCTTGTCGGAAAAAGGGACTTTGTAGAAAACGAAGCGTTTGAGATATAGAGGACCTACAATAATGTACAGTATTTGAAAAATAATGTGTTTTTTGAACATTAAAGCATGTCAACATATTCTGTTACACCAAATACACAAAATAATGATCTTTAAAAAAGCATCATATGACCCCTTTAAGGCTTTGCAGTAATGTACAATATGTTTTGCTGTTAAAGTATGACGGTAGTGACCTATTTCAATTTTAGAATGGGCAAATATTTCAATATAAAAATATTTTTGGTAAGTACAGTGATAAAATAAATGGCTACTGGGATAATGCACTCGTTCCCCTCTTGACAAAAGCACAATTTAATGTCTTTCCAAAACCTTACAATCGGGATAAATCTTTCAAGGCTTCTATCAGACTAAATTATATGTGCATGTCCCACATTTTGAAGACTGGGCAAAACTCGTACAAATAAAGCAGAATGAATTCTGCTGATATAATATTTAATTTGACCTCCCAAGGTCAACAAGGTGGAGAAACGACTTTAATTATTAAGAATCTTAGACTTTTATTATAGTTTTTATAGCACTAGCTTCACGCTTCCGGAGTGGTTTCCGGTTAGCTGGCGCATCTGCAGCATCCGAAGCCGCAGACGAGAAACGCCATGAACAACACGCTCATTTCTGCCTGAATTTGATTCTGTCCGATTAAAATCAAACCGCATCCGTTCACCGTTCACCGGCAGGCCACCGGCGGAGCGCGCAGATGAGATGTGTCACGCGTCTGAGCGGGTTTTGCAGGAATGCTTCCGTTAGCGCCTAGCTGAGTATTTGTTGAATTTAAATGATTATTTTTTCATCAAGCAAGAGACGAATTAATATGATTATGGACGTTTAACAAATGAAATGATCTATTATTCTAATTAATACCCGCATGTCATCTGCTTTTCTGCGAAAAGTGGTTGTGTTCATGTTCTAATGAGCTGCACAGCTGGCTGATGATGGAGAGTTTGACTTTAATCCATCAAAACGATAATTTGTCTTCACTTCACGTTTGAAGGTTCATTTTTCAACAGGGCTTAAATGTTTACATTGATTTCAGCTGGATTTAAGTATTTATATCGTGATATGGGCCCGTGTCCCGTATATAGACACTAGACAAACACTTTAATCATATCAGGCCATCACTGATAGATGCTGTTTATTTGGATATACTCAACTGTGATGTATTAATTTAGCACATATACCGTTTGTTTTCGTATACTAATACGTTTTTGTTGCTATACGGTTCATTTAAGCTGTGATCAGAACCAGAATTGGGCTACGAGTCCACGTTTGACCGTCACAGCTGATCTAGACCTCTGGCACCAGAACAACCCGAAAAGTGGTTGTGTTCATGTTCTAATGAGCTGCACAGCTGGCTGATGATGGAGAGTTTGACTTTAATCCATCAAAACGATAATTTGTCTTCACTTCACGTTTGAAGGTTCATTTTTCAACAGGGCTTAAATGTTTACATTGATTTCAGCTGGATTTAAGTATTTATATCGTGATATGGGCCCGTGTCCCGTATATAGACACTAGACAAACACTTTAATCATATCAGGCCATCACTGATAGATGCTGTTTATTTGGATATACTCAACTGTGATGTATTAATTTAGCACATATACCGTTTGTTTTCGTATACTAATACGTTTTTGTTGCTATACGGTTCATTTAAGCTGTGATCAGAACCAGAATTGGGCTACGAGTCCATGTTTGACAGTCACAGCTGATCTAGACCTCTGGCACCAGAACAACCAACCCACTTACTTATAGACTCACATTAGTAGTTAAGGGATCTTTGATACATCATGAAGAAGTTCTTTGACTCCCGGCGGGAGCTGGTGGGCTCTGGACCCGGTTCTGGAGGTGGAGCTGGAGGTTCTGGATCCAGCAGCGGTGTTGGTGGGAATTTTATCGGACGGGCTTTCACTGTTGGAAGACACCACGTCACTGTAGAAGAAACTCTGGCAGAAGGTATGTCAGACTGATGTTTAATATTTTCCTTGCAGGCTTGAACCCACAACCTTTTAGTTAACAAACAAAATAATTATGTTTAGCTTTTTAGCCTTACAATATTTAATTGAAAGAATTTATTTTTGAATGTCCAGTCTCTCAAAAATGATTTTTAAAAATCCTTATCCAGTATTTGTGAATGCCTGAAGAAGTTGTGTGTGTGTACTGTGTATATATATATATATATAAATTAAATAATTCCTATTACTGTATTATAGTAGCTTTTGAAGCAGCTTCTCCAATGCTGATCACTTCCAAATGACCAAATACTGAATGATCAATCTGCCTGGTCAACATAACTCTACTTAATGTTTTATTTCAATCATCTTGATGTTCAGTGTTTTACAGCTGTTAGTTACAGAGCCTAATTTTATCCAGCAAACATGTAGCGTGGCCTTATGGTGAACTGTGGTTAGATCTCAGCGCTCTTCTCAACTCCTCTGGCAGATTTATTTAGTGGCCTAAATCCTCTGTCTGGAAATCCCTGCTCATCTGTACTTGGGTGTTGACATGTCCTGCGGTGTAACATCTTATACACAATCTAAAACTGTTTTAAAAAGCATTTTACTGATTCTTTTAGAATTATTATTATGCATGCAGTAAAATATTAAGCAGCACAACTGTTTCCGATAGGGGTGAGTAATATGACCGTGTGACAGATTTTCTCTTTTGTTGTTTGATTAACATGAATGACTGCTGTCACTTTGAGAGCTGCCCAGATCCAATATGCTGTTACACGTGTGTGTTCTTTCTCAGCAATATTTGAAAAGCGCTTTTGACCACAGTGTCGGGATGAGTCCCAAAACATTTGCTGTAATGATAGGGAGAAGAGAGTGCACGGACTGATATTAGTAGATTGACTATAGATAGAGAGGGATGGCAGATAAAAAAAAGAGGAAAATATAGGAGGAACAAAACATTAAAAAGAAGGGTTACGCTTCTAAAACACACTATTACCAAACACATTCGACCTGAATTAGCATAGTAACACACAACGCTTTCACCTATTCATGACACCATACCTTTGGCCGGCAGGCATAGCGGAGTCCGCCATCGTTGTTGCCAGGGTTGTGTACATACGTGTGAGGCGGAGATATCTAAATAGGGGTGAGTTCCTGCTGGGGTATGGGCATGTTTGTTTTGGTGCTTTCAAATATTAAAGGGTTAGTTCACCCAAAAATGAAAATTAGCCCATAACCGTATCCGGGTCTGCGGAGTTTAAGTAGTTTTAAATAAAAAGCGCCCATCCATAAAAAAAAAAAGTGTCTCACACGGCTCCGGGGGGTGAACAAAGGCCTTCTGTGGCGAATCGATGCGTTTTTGTAAGAAAAATATCCATATTCAAAACGTAATACTTTAATCTAGCTTGCGCTCACTGTTGTAGCCTACACTGGAAGCAGTTCCGGGAGCATGACGTATGAGGTCAGCGCTGCACATGCGCCGGTGAGTCTCGTGAAAACCAACGTTTGTTAACAGGAGCAAAGGAAGCAAAGTTTCCTTACTTTAGCAAAGGAAAACCAGTCTCCTCTTGGCTTTGCACAGCAACGTCACATGACTGTGTAACCGCGATAGAGACGATAGTCCAAAATCTCCAGTTGGTTGACAAATTTCTACCAGTTAATCATGTCTACCTGTATATTGCCCTCCCCTAGTTTCCAATTTTGATAATAATATGAAATGTTTCTTAAGCAGCATAATAAATGATTTCCAAAGGATCATGTGATAACTCTGAAGACTGGAGTTATGATGCTGAAAATTCAGCTTTGCATACCAGGAATAAATTATGTTTTAAAATATATATACAAATAGAAAACTATTATTTTAATGTGTAAACTGTATATTGTGTATTATAATTTTTGATAAAATAAATGCGGCCTTGGTGAGCATAAGAGACAAAACATTTAAAAACAATCTTTCTGACCTCAAACTTGTGACTAGTAGTGTATATAAATTCTAACTTGATGTTGATTCAAAGATCCATTTTTGAATGAGGAATTTAAGGGCTCCGTTTACCCAAAAACAAACATTCTATAATTATTTCCTCTCCCTCATGTTGCTTTAAACATGTTGATTTTATTTCTTCCCCAAAAGGAGATTTAGTTAAGCATAATGCTACTTTTATACCACACTATGAAAGTAAATGTTTTCCAGGGGCAGTCAAAGCTTTAAACATTTTTTAAAAGCATTTTTTGTGATGTATAGATGAAAGATAATTTAAATTGGTGAACAACATGATGAGGGTGAGCATTCATTGCATCATGATGAATTGCATGTGTTATCGGTGATGTAAAGGAAACAGTCGTTTACTCTGTTTAATTTGATTTCCAGTTCACAGAAGGAGCTAGTAACGAAGTTAATAGACTTTCGGGCCTGGCGCATCTCAGACTCCTCTGTCCCGTTTAAACACCTCTCAGCATCTTTTCTCAGCACTGCTATATAAAACCAATAACATCTGCTTTGCAGAGAGATAACACTGAATGTTTGACTGTTCCTGTAGAGCTAAATCCTTGATGAAATATCTGCGTCCTGCTTCCCCCACCAGCTTCCCCTGGTCCTGCTTTGATGAAAAAACACCCTGCACCATGTTATGCCAACACCGCAAATCTGAGTGCAAACATAGACTCTGATGTCTGGTTGGACATATCAGCATGCACTATAACATCAAGAGTACATGCTTGGACTAAGTGTCTATATGCTGTTCACATTGAGTACTTCCACTAAAATATCTGGATCAACAAAATATAATTTATTGCATGCAGAAATGTGAATTATGCATTTTGTAAACTTATGGACAGGGCGATCAGTGATTGAATACAAATAGTAATAGACAAATTTAAATGATTAATTATAATAATAATAATTGGTACATTTTTTTTTTTTTTTTTTTACAAATGAGCTATATATACTATATTTTGTATAATAAAATACTGTTATATAATAAATAAAATCTATAATATTAACAACAACAAAAAAACAACCCACATTCAACTTCTATGGTGAACTGAATTAAATTTCCTGCTGTTTTCCTCATGGTGGCAGTGTTGTGGTATAAATATCTTCTTACTTTTCCAGTCCTCAAGCTTGTTTTCAGCAACAAAACAATGTGTTTTTGCCTTTGTAGGTGGCTTCGCAATCGTCTTCCTGGTGCGGACCAATCAAGGGGTGCGCTGTGCCCTAAAGAGGATGTACGTTAACAACGAATATGACCTGCAGGTCTGCAAGCGTGAGATCCAGATCATGGTGAGTGTGATGAAATGTCTACTGTGCTTTAGCAATGATGAGAGAATTGATTTCTAATTCTGAATTCTGTTTTAAATAAATGCTGTTTTTAAACTTCCTATTCATCAAAAAATTCTATAAAAATATTAAGCAACTGTTTTCAATGTTGATGATAATAAGAAATGTTTCTTGAGCACCAAATCAGCATATTAGAATGATTTCTGAAGGATCATGTGACACTGAAGACTTGAGAAATGGCTGCTGAAAATTCAGCTTTGCCATCACCGGATTAAATTATATTTTTAAATAGAAAATATTAAGTATTAAATAGAACATTTTTATAATTGGAAAAAAAATAAAAATATTTCACAATATAATTTTTTTTATTATATAAATGCAGCATTAGTGAGCACAAGAGACTAAGAAACATTAAAAAAACTTAGCAACCCCAGACTTTTAAACATTAGTGTAGGTACCATACAATATTCAGAGAGAAAATGTTTGTGATGTCTTGTCAGTTTGAGCTCATTTTCTTTGTGGACTGTGTTCCAGCGGGATCTCAATTGTCATAAGAACATCGTTGGGTTCCTGGACTCCAGCATCACAGCTGTAGGAGGTGGAGATGTGTGGGAGGTGTTTATCCTCATGGACTTTTGCAGAGGTAAGTCAGTAAGTAAACTGAAGTTCTCGTCAAGTACCACCTAGATGGCAAACAGTGTTTAAAATGAAGGGACTAAAAGCTACAAAACTCCAGTGTTTGTCATGGGTCTTTCCAAAGAAAATTGAACAACCAGTAAGCTTTTCTTTTTCCAATTTTCTTTTATTTAAAAGGATCTCAATTATTTTACACATCTAGTAGTCAGTTTTATCAGTGTTAGATGTTTACATTTTTGGTGTCAAAGCAAAAGCACTTTTTTTGGCAATATTACTGTTTAATACAAGTGAGTTTGTCCTAGGGCTGTGCAATTAATCGCATGCGATTGTCAAGCGCATCTCGTCAGTAAAGCCGGTTCCGTGATTAGTAGTAAATCTCCATCACCTGCTTTCAGATGGAGCGGCATTTACTACACAAAGCCGTAGCTCACTGACAATGAGGCAATATCGTTGCCTAATAATAATAATATTATGAACTAGGGCTGTGTGATTAATCGAAATCGTCATAAAATCACGATTTGAGCTTGCGTGATTTCTAAATCACTTTATAGCACGATTTTCCGCGCCCCCAACCTCCCGCAGTATGCTATCCGAACCAATCAGAATGCAGCGCGCCTAAATGGAGCACGAGAACAGAACAGACCGGGCAGGAATACAAACGTAACGCCAGGTTCACACACTCCGTCTGTGGTGCGTATTTTTTTCCGTGCCCATGTTAACGGATCAGAGCGTTCACACTGCACGCGATTGCGCTCCGGCAGTGTGCTCCAGGAGCAGTGCGTCTGCAGCAGTGATGCTGCGATCGTTTCTGCACGGAGTCTATTTCTGCTGTGCTGCATGCGCTGAATTAAAGTGACAGCGCATTATTCGCGGTAAAAATTAACATGGATTGACACGGAAATTTATGCTTTATAATTATAGCATATATAAATGCATATAATGAAATATATATAAATGCATATAATTAAAGTCTACTGTTTCACTGTCAACACATGGCTTTTTGGCTAGATTTAAAACAAGGAAAAGTGCACTTTTAGATAAACAAGGCAATAATAGACGGCACTCGTGGTGGTAGTTAAAGTTATATTCATTCATTCATTGTACCAATTTCGGTACCAAAGCAAAACACAAAAACATGCTAATTGAACAACATTTTTATTAATAACGTTAAACAAAA